GTCCTGCGCACGGCAGCTGCGCTGCCCGGTGCGGGGCTTCCCGCTGCCCGCCCGGCTTCCGCGGGCAAATCTCCCCCGTCCTCTCTTTCCCCGCAGGGAGAGCATCCCCAGCAGGATGCTGCTGCCGGCCTGGGAAATGGGTCTCTACGGGCTCCTCACCGTGGGCTCTCACCTCTACGCTTTCTATGAAGCGCACTGGGTGTCTCAAAGTAAGTGCAGTGTGCTCGCTCCCGCAGCGCTTCCCACCCGCGGCTGGTCAGGCTGCTCGCCTTGGGTTGTCCTCTCCCTGCTGCTCCCCGCTTGGCTGTCCTGCAGGGAGCACCTGTGGCAATAGGGGAGTAGGCCCTTGGCAATAGTGTCTCGGCTCTCTGCTGCCAGGGAGACCTCTGAAGCTCAGCTACTCGGATGGAGCAAGTTCAGGGAAGTTGGGTCTGAGTTGGGGTTTTTCCAGGCTGGTCTCGAACCCTCTCACCTGCAGCCTCTTGGAGGTGGGTGGTGCAGAGCCAGCTGTGACTCCTGATGGTGTTTGCTGGGGATTGAGCCTGGGGAGGCCCCGGGGTAGGTGGGGCTGCTCTGCCTGGAGAGATGGGGTTCCTACGCTGGGTTGTGGGCTTGGAGCAATGGCTGGGTTGTCTGTGTGACTTTGGGGTCAGTTTGTTTCCAAACACTGTCATGCGTAAGCTCTTAGTATCTACTACCAAGTACTACTTGGCACCTACTATCTGTGGCTTGTTTTGGATCAGTGGGGCTGTGTAGTGCAGAGTAGGGGAGGAGTTTAAAACAACTTAAATAAAACTTCTAGATGAAAAGAAGTTGTGTTCTGGCACATCAGTATTTTAAGGGAAGTGAAAGTGGTATTATCTAATATCTAATAAAATCGTAGCTGGAGGAGCTCATTAGGGAAATGTATTGCATCTTGTTAGGCTTTAATCACCAGGTGTTCTACATTAATGGCCCCAGCTAACTCTCAGAAGTGCTTAAGGGAAGGACGGGAGTGCCAGGAAGGGAGGAAAGTGCTGGGTAAATGGGTACAAGGCTGTGCAGCATGCCTTCTGTGGAGATGGCAACAGGCTGCATGGGAATGGGCTCTGGAGGCAGCTTTATACCAGTCACTGTCAGGTCTGTGTGTCCCTCCAGTGGGAGACAGCAGGCAGCCCTGAAGGAGGGGAAATCAGGATTAGTGCAGGCCCTGTGTGATCAAATGTTGGCTGCCACCTGCTACTGGCCCTGTTGCAAGGGGGAATCAAAGTATAGGTTCTGGGTAATTTGGTAGCTTTGCCTTTGCTGTGGGGCAGAGCTGTGGCCTGGCTGGGCAGCTTGCCTGGTGAGCAGTGACATTCCCTTCCCTGGCTCCAAATGTCACCATCAGCAGAGGCAACGTGGGTATGTGCTGCTCTTGAGCAGGCAGAGACTCTGTCCCCAGCTCATCCTACTCTGGCTGCTGTGTCCTTAGCAAAGGTTCGCTCTTCTCTGCAGAGTATGAGGCTGCAATGGACAGAAAGTTTGGGCTGGAACCAGGGACTCTCTTTCGGGGCCTCAAAAAGGTAGGTTGGATGACTGGTACTGGCATGTTTTTATTTCATGGCAGTAATGCTAGGGTCATGTCTCCATGCCCTTTGCTCACCAGGGTCTCCGATTTAGCTTCAGAGTTTTGTAGCAGCTTTTCAGATTTGGATAATCATGGTTAATTTTAGTCTCTTTCTAATGAGTAAGAAAGACTTGTCAGGTGTGTCTAGATCTAACAATTGTAACAAAAGTTTTGTTTATTATCTTGATCCTTGGTCTGTGTTTTTTCCTTCATTAATATCACTTATCCTTCTGGTTTACTGTTTGGCCTTAAAAGCTATGGTCACCCTTGACATTTCCCACAGCCTTTTTCCTGTCATTGGGCGGTTTGAATAATGCTTAACATCACTGAACATGTGTTTCCCTCCTGGTGGGCCTGTCATCCAGGAAAAAGGAGAACAGATTTTTGAGGCATAAGGGCTTAAAGAAATATGGTTGGACTTAAAAAAACTAGCACCCCTCTACCCCAAACCAAAAAACCACCAACCTTCCCCTGTCCTTGCTTGCTTTTGACCTCTCTTCCTTCTGAAGAAGTGGAACTAATATTGAGGATGACTTCCGCAGACACACATTCCTGGTCTTGTGTAAGTTTTTTGTTATCTAGGCCCACCATCACTGATGGTAAGGGACACTTCACATGTGGTTTCAAGAAAGCTTGTGGAGATGAAGTTTTAGTGGGGCTCTGTATGGGATACAGGGCTACCAGCTGATCCCTCTTACCAAATTTAGATAAAATCTCCATGTTACAGGAATCTCCAGCTGACTTGACTTAATCTGATCCCACCTAGGCTTTGGTGAACCTGGGAGTGAAACTTCTCTTCCAGCAAGGTGCCTTTTCACCTCTTGGTTTTCCAAGGCAGAGCAGAGTTACTCATGGAATCCCTCAGGAGAGTTGAGGGGTCATGCACAGGGAAGGCAGGACTTTGCTTCCCTGTTTTTCTTAAAAAGCTGTCAGGTTGAAAAAATTCCTGGCTAAACTGTGTGAGTTAAGTATAGTCCAAAATGGTTTTGTGGATTTTTGGTTTTAGGATTTATTAATCCTAAAATTAAAAGGGTTGGGGCAAGCAGAGGCATGAATTTCTTGACTCTGAAGAGATGATCAGGAACAGTAGGAACAGACTAAATTGTTGGTTCCTGAGAAGCTTCCTGATGGGGAACCAAAGCAAGCATGTGTTGGACTGGGAAGCCCTGAGAAGTGGGACCCTGGTTTCAGGCTGCATCTCTATAGTTGCCAGCCTGTTCCCCGTGTCCCAGGGAGGAGATGTGTGGGAGTGCCTCCCTGCCCATCTTGTAGTTAAAAAAAAAAAAACAAACCTCCCATGGTATTCATAGGGAATGGGAGTGATCGATGCTTGGTTCAGTGCTAGTGTGAGATTTTGGAGTCACAACACCATCTAAAGCTCTTTCTCTGGATTTTGCACTGTTGGAAGTCAAAATGGAGCTGTTGGAGCTCACTGCTGTAAGTGATCAGACTGTGTTGCTGAAACAAGGTGTTCCCCAGATGGTGAGTTCTGCAGTGGTGGGTAACAGACCTGTTGCGTCATGGAGATGTTTCCTTGTCCTGTAAGAGTGCTTTTATGGCCAGGTCCACATACTGACCAGTTCCCTTGATGCCCCAGGACCCCATGGACTTTGAGTGGAGCTACTGGATTGAATGGGGAAGGGACCATATACTGTGGCTTCTGGTTGGTCACCTGCTGGTATCACAAGTGTCCAGGCTCTTGGTGGAGAAGGTATGTATGGATTTTCTTCATGGCAGGGAGTTTCTGTGGGTTTTGGTTTACTCTGGGTATGGACAAACTTGGTGTTGAGGGTACTGAGTGTGGGAAATAACATTCTGTGGGGTGAGTTTTGTGAGTGGGTCTGCAGTGATGCACAGGGGGAGAGCAAAGAGGTAGGTTGCCTTGGGTCTGTGGAGGCCTCAGCCACCAAGCCTTGAAAGCATGTGCTTTGTTTTGAACCGCTAACCAGTGTCACTTGACCTGTACACAAAAGAAGGGTATAGTTATTCCAAGACTAGAAGGTGGTGACTGCTTGGCTTTGGCATGATTGCTAAATGGGTGTATGACTTGGAAATGACTGGTACGTGGTGTCACACCTGCTAGTTTGGGGAAGGAAAGAAGGGAGTTTGTTTTGCCCTGGATCAGGTAGGGTCTGGATTCCATACATACTGCTACAGAAACCCCTTCCCAAGAAACCCAATTTTTGTGGGTACAGTTGGGTTTTCCTGTATTGTTTTCATGTGTTCTTAAAGTCAACTGCATTTGTTTCTACTATAGACACTGTGTAGGACAGCATGGATATTGAGTGCTTTTTTCCTTAGAAATAATCAAACTAAAAATGTTTTTTTTTAACAGTATAAACCATGGTGCTTAATGGTTTATGGAATGGCTGCCTGCTGGTTGTTGCTGGGAATCAAGGGCTTTGCTGTCATTTTGTTACATGCAAGTATTTCGTTTGCTGTGGCTCAGTTTCAGCTGTCACTCCTGACCTGGTTGTGCTCCCTTATCCTGCTATTCACTTTACGCATACCGGCTGTGGAAGAAGCTGAGGTAATGTGGGAAGAACTAATTAAGTATCAAATTAATTATGATGGTGTTTGTCCATTATCGCAGCTATCTTTATGGCAGAGTGCTATCCCTTCAGCTGATGTGAGCAGAGGTTGGCTTGACAAACCTTAGGGTGGTAGAGTTGGTTTGTGCTGGAACTTCTCCAGTTAAAAAAGCTGTATTTCTCCATCATGCCTTGAGATGAAAGAATGTGTCTTAATGTGTAAGTGCTATTCAGTAGAGCTGGAGTATGATGATGGTTTACTAGTGCTCTACTAAAGACATCTCTTGTTCTTTGGATCTACAGTCATACCAATGTAAGGTGCTGGTCTTGGGCTTCATATCCGGGAGCTACTTAATTAAGTCTGTACTGTATTGGTGACTGCAGGCTTCTGCATGGAAGGGGAGGGAGACTTTCTCCAACACTTTGATTTGTACCAGATGAGTTGCTTGCTTGCAACTGGTTGGTGCAAGCTCAGTTTTGCTTTCTCTAATGGCTTTTGCTGGGCAGGACAGATTCTGGAGAAAGTGCTGTTCAGTTGTGAGGAGATGTCCTTGTTGCATGTACTTGGACTAAGGGGAAATACTTGGCATATGTTATAAGGCTTGTTCTGATGTTCAGGGGGAAGGTAGAAGGGGGAGATGAGTGGGTAGGGTCTCTTCATGTGGTGTAGAAAGATATGTCTTGCTGAGAGGATGAAAGGGCCTGCTGCAATCCAGTTGTAATCAGCCAAACTATGTCTGTTTCCAAGATTTTTTTGATGATGTGTTTGTTGTTGTTGGAAACAAGTATGACAGGGAGTGTCAAAAACTTGATAAAGGCTTGGTAACATCTTTCCAGCCTTGGTTTGTGACTGAATCTGTTCAGATCTGAACTGCAGCCTTGGCTTCAGCCCTAGCAGTCCCTCAGCTGTCAGTATGGTTGCTGGCTGATTTGGGTATTGTAGTAGTGGACCAAACCTGAGAGAGGTATTGGCATTCTTAAAAGCAAAGTGCTCCTCCTGTAGTAGTTTTTCACAACCTAATAAATTTCTGAAATGAAGCTGTTGTCTCTTTATGCTGTCTGCAGTAGCTCTGGAGGCTCCTTTTCCATCAACAGCCAGTGCTTGTGGTTCATGTGTTAAGTCATGTTCACTTCAGATGCTTTTTCTGGCTGCTGTTTGCTTTAGTTGCTTTCTGCTGCTGGTGACACTGAAAGCTAGGGTCTGGATGGACGTGGCTGTCCTGCCATGTAGAAAACACAGCATTGCACCATTGTGATCTGGCTTTTTGTCTTGCAGAGAAATTGGTACGACACAGAAAATGAGTATTATCTGCTGCTCTTCACTGTGTCTGTCCGCTGTCTCTTCTGCACTAGCTTCAGCCTGGAGTACTGCTGGCATGGACCTGCCCAGAAGTCATCCTATTCATTCCTGTGGATGCTGGCATATGTGTTTTATTATCCCATGTTCCACAATGGACCCCTAATGAATTTTGATGAATTCAGTAAGCAGGTAAGTGTTTTTCAGCTCAGTTACACATTTTTCAGTGCATCTGCACATCAGGGGAATTAGATGAAGAACTATTGAAGAGGATGGAGATCTCTTTTCAGCTGCCAGATCTAGACATAGACCATGTATTTTGAGGAATGGATTAAAACATGATAGGTTGATTTTTTTTTTCCTCTCATCTTGAGATATTTTAATACCAATCGTGAGAGAATACTAGGTTAATTTCATTCAGTTTTCCCTGGGATGCTCTTTTAATGTTATGTTTCATAATGTAGTTTACAGGTAGGCCTGAGTTTCTATTTATTTTTTAGTTACCTGCTTGACAGAAATTGATACGGATGAGACTTTCAAAGTGAAGGTGTTCCTAATGTTAGTCTGTATCATCCTTTTATCTAAGTGCTGAAGTATGTGGCATGCAAAAGGGAAGGCTGTAGTTAGAAACCAGTCTTGAGTATTCATGCTTGTATACCAGCCATGCCATAACACTGAACTCTCATAAGGCTGGCAACTAACACTGAGAATGTATTTAGTCAAAATAAGTCTTTATCTAGTGCTTGGATGGAAGGAGTTTGCTTAGACTCCAATGTTAGAGAAGATGGAAAGATAGAAGAATAGTTTTTGAAGTCTCGATGATTCATCTTCTATCTGATACCGCTTTCCTTCTGAAATAATTTCCCCTCCCCCACCCCCCAACAAGGTACTTTGGGAAAAAACCTACATGGAAATGAGTGTTCGTTCATGCATATTTTGACTTCAGTTAAAAGCATCTGTAACTGATTCTGTAATGTTTTTCCTCCTTACTGGTGAATTGTGGGATTTCAATTTTTACTTAGGCCTTGGAGATTAGGAATTGTTTGGGTGTCTAAAGCTATCTTCCACAAAATTTTGAAAATATCAAATAATGTTCTAGGAATGTCGTGACTGGAAAATTTTGAGCATAGCATAGAATAGAATAGAATCATAGAATCATAGAATCACTAGGTTGGAAAAGACCTTAGAGATCATCCAGTCCAACCGTATCTGTCCACCACTAAACCATTGGGAATTTGACGGTGTCCTGGATATCAACTTTAAGACAAACCCTCCTCGCCCAGTTCTTCCACTTGTCAGACAAAAAAAAGCTGTAGTCAGGTTTATCCCTTCAACCAGGGAGCCAAGGACTCATGTTATAGTTGCAGAATATTCATAAATTTAGCATGTAGCTGCTGACCTGGATTTTTGTTTTCCTTTCCTCCATCAGGTGGCATAATGTAACATTTTCAGCAGCAGCTGGTTATTAACTCTGAAGTAGATTTCAGAGAGACAGTAAGCTGCTGGTTTGTATTGGGAATTCCTGATGACCCTGGTTTCCCTCATGTTGGTGTGAAAACAGCTGATGATTTACTTGGAACACTTCAAGCTTTAGCAAGCTGAGCAGCTCCTTTTAATGGGAAAGACCTATGTATCTTACTGCATGTGTTTTCTAGTGCCTTGCAGGCTGCTTTTCAAGTCTGTTTTGTATGTGACAGGGGAAACCCCTGGACTTCTGTGCTTTATTGCTTTCTGTGCATTCTTGCACACTTTAAGAAGTGAAATCACTGTGATGTCTGTAGCTAACATCACTGGGATAAAGTGGATGAGTGGGCATTTCTAACAATAAAACTGCAGTTTCAGTTTATAGAAGCCTAGACATTGCTTCAGTTTATACTGGGAAATTTGCTGCTGAAGCAAATAGACTGGGCTTTATGAAAGAGAAAACTGATTCTGGTGGGCCCCTGAGTGACAAGTCCTGTGCTCATTTGTCTTCAGTATCTTTGGAAGATGCAAGGCTGAATGTTGTTACCCTGGTGCGGATGTTGTAGGAAAAGTCCGCATAGACTTTCATAGAAACTGAGGTAATTTTTTTTTTCAATGCTTGTTGTTTTGTAGCATCTGAAGTGTGTTAAATTCCACCTATATTCTTGTATCCCTAGCAGAGGGAGGGTGGGTTTTTTTTGAATGGTCTTTCAGAAGACCTATTGCACTCCAAGTTGAGAGCAGCTTGGGGGTAGCTGGTAGGAAGAGTTGGGGTATGTGTTTTTGAAACTGAGCTCATTGGATATGGCTCAGCAAAGACCTGTGCAAAGACCACCTGTGTTCTTAGCATGAGGAGAAAAAGAAAGGTTGAATGGGATGCTCCTATCTGCTGTAGGTTCTCATTCATATATGCACAGACCTGTTTGGTTAAAGCCATAAAGAAGGTGGAACAAAGTGAACAACCTTAATGTTTCTTGCTGGTGTTCGCTGAAGTGCATTGTCAGAGCTTTCATCTGAGCAGAGGATATTGGCTTGACAGATGAGATTGAAGGGGTTTGAAGTCTGCAGTGCCCAGCAGCTGATTCCAAGTGCACAATACAAAGTGTGTTTACTGCTGCTATCGAAACAGTTCACCTGCAGAACCCCTTGAATGAAGCTGAGACTGAGATGAGGGCTCCCACTAAGCACACTGGAAAGCAGAAGTCCTGGATATGGAGTCAAACTGCTGTATGGCCCAGAGTGTAACACCAATGCTGGTAACTTGGCATCTGTTGCCAGGCAAAAATGAGACTGACACATCATCAGTGGCCTTATTGAATTTCTGGATTGAAGCAGGGCACAGCAGTTCTATTTATGGCTTTGAAGGCCTGTTGTGCAAATCCTTGCAATAAAATGATAGTCTCGAAGCTTTTGTCTAGCTGGTACAAATGAACCCTCAGAATGAGTGTCCTATTAATTTGTACGTGAGCAGAGCTAACAGTGTTAGCTGTACTGTGTGCATGCAGGTATGAGGAGATTTGTCCGTGTAGATGGGTTGGTTGTTTGTCTTGTACATGTGTGTTTGGTGGCCAGTTAGAGACTGGAGAAGTTGTTGCACACATACAATGATAATGTGCAAAACATGATGAAATTTTCGTGAAATCCAGTGTTTCTGTTAACTGATCATATTCTTTTACTGCAGAAAGAAGGTAAAATAGTAGTATACCACTGTTTACTGTAGTTAGCAGCCTAAGAGTTTGGGGCATCTTGAAGCCTGTCAGCTGTGCACCTTGCCTTATCTTATAGTTAACTTGCACTTAACTGCAATTTGTTCAATATGTCATGTAGGTCTTGCTGACATTGGCAATGCTACAGGAGAAAAATGAAGAACTGTCCTCAATTAATCCCATACAATTGGTAGAAGTTGGAGGGTATTGTAAGAGCATGCAGTCATTGCTTCTGTGTTTGGTAGGGCTGCTACTTGGAAAACCTCCATAGCTGTAGTTTCTTTTAAATCTTTTTAATTATCACTAGAGGTTGATTGAGTTACAGGAATTAGTGCCACATGTTTGGTTTCTGTTCAGGTTAGCAGCACTTGGCCTTTCCTTATAACAGTTTGGTGTAGAGTATGGTCACATTCAGCCTCTCTGATTTCTAAAGCTCACTGGGATTGTGAATGGACAGAGCAGTCTCCCTCATGAGTTTCCAGATGGTCCCATTAGTAATAGTAATGCATGGCAAATGAAATTTGTAAAAAGTTCTCAGGTTGACTATTTGAGTAAAACAGGTATGTGCTATATAACCTCTTTGGATTTCTTCCATAGATGAGGAGACAAGAAGCCTTCAGTTTGAAGACTAATCTCAGCATCTTAATTGTGGGCGTAATTCGTATTTTCTTTTGGTGGTGCCTGGCTGAGCTGATGATTCATCTCATGTATATCCATGCTCTCTACAGCAGTGCTTCACCTTTGGAAGCTGCATCATACTGGGCCTTGGGTGAGTTTAGTAACAATACAGAAATCTTGCTTTCTCTCCCACTTCAAGAATCCCAGTCTACATCTCTCTGTTTCTACTTGAGTAGTACATTGTGGCCAGTCACTGTCAGAAATGTGGTCTGCACACTCTTAATATAACACGTAGATCCTCTGAGAAGCTTACAGGTGAGCTTACTGAGCTGCTTTCTAAATTAAAAAAATATTCTGTATTTGTTTCAATCAAAAGTCTGTGTCTCAACTTTGGTCTAAAGTGGCTTTCTCCCTCAAGTCCTGGAAGAGAACACTTAAAGATTTAGTGTAGGAATGGAGGAGGGGAGACCTTAAGAATTCAAGTGTTTATTGATCTCCTGTTTGTTTCTCGTTTGTATTCACATTGAAAGGTAAAATGACAGTACTCTTGAAAAGACCAGAAGGAAGGAATTGCCAACAAGGTGGCCTGAAAGTAGAAGTCAGTGCCTCTCAGCTTTGTTTTCTTGCTTTGTTTCCCCTTCTGCCCCTGCTCCCCAGCTCCCTGGTATGTCATTAAAGTGCCAAACTGAGGGAAGTGGGGAGAATGAGTGCTGACGAATGCAGCATAAAATGTCAAGAGCTTTGGTTGCTGGTACGTAGTCAGATGTAGGCTAACCCGTAAGCTACTGGCATATGTGGTTGGTTTGAGTTTTCCACTGTCCTGTGTATCACCAGGTAGGTTCTGAAAAAGCCTTGGTGATTGCTGAATTGAAGGAGATGCCTCCTACTGTACCAGCAAGTAACAGGAATTGACACACACTGTTATGGTCCTGTCAAGCATTCATTGGAGACCGTGTATGACGAGCAGGGTGGGTTGGAGGACACTTGTATATTGGACTCTGACCAGTAGAGGGCAATGTGTGTGCTCTGTCTCTGTGTATGTGCCTCTGTGGAGAGCAGAAAGCGAGAGGTTTGCCCCATGGTTCACTCTACTCAGTGACTGCTCAGAAAGTGGATTCGGAGTTTTCATCTTCTGTCAGGTCACCAAATCTGTTAACTCACGGTGTCTTCTGTATGTCTGACAAAAAGCTTTGCTGTGCTACTGAGCATGTGGAGTCTGGTAAGTGCTGGTCACTGGATAAGGCAGCCAAGGCTATGGAATTAGGGATGAAATATTCCAGCTTTGGTGTTACTGGCAGATTCCTCTCTCTCTTTAAGAATACCAGTGTCGGTTTTAAAAAAAGCAGGGTGAAAAGAGTTACCTTACAGGCTACACCTAAGTAGGCTGTGTATTTATTTGGTGAAATAAAGAGCTATCCTAAGAATTAAAATGCATTTTGAACAGAAAAGGCTAAAATGCCTCAAAGCAACAGGTGGTGAAAGTCAGTGTTAAAGCAAGTCTGGACGCTAAAGATGCCTGATTAAAATATGATCGTTTGAATTGAAACAAGTCCCTTGTGTCACCTTCTTTTTGAGCTTCGTCTTTGTAGTAATGAAAACAGGTGTTCAAATGTTACAAAGCAAATGAGATTTTGAGGCAGAAGTTTGTCACTTCCTAAAACGCATTCTCTGCATTTTTTTTTTTATCATGGTTATACAGGTCTCCTTAGGCTCACACCAGTGACAGGCTGCTGTTGTGACTTGCTTTAGGGAGACACCACTATATCAGTAAGGGTACTGGTAATATTTTCCTATTGCTCCTTACAGATCTTACCATGCTTCTACGCCAGTTCTTGTACGGAGCCAAACACTCTTCTCAGTTATTTTGCATTCTGTTATTAAAACCAATTACATGAGATAACTGAGTCTTGAGACCAAAGCAGCAGCTTGTTGACTCAGGACTACTAATGACATAGTATGTTAGCCTTTCTGAACTGCTGGGATTTCTGTTCCTTTTGTGTTTTCTATTTAACTACAGCAGCTTCAAAGCAGAATGGAGCATCTGCTTACGTCGTGATGCCTGGCTGCACCAATAGCCTGATAAACTTGGGGGAAAGGCTGTGAGACTGTTTTGCAAACAGCTACAATTAGGAAGATTGTAACTACTCCTCCAGTTTTCTTATGGGATATTTTTGAACAACAGGCAGTAAATGCCAGCAGGGCAGGTAAAGCTGAGAGTGCTATGCGATTTTGCTCTTGGCATCTTAAGGGCACTGGTGATGGTCAGTGTACAGCTCAAAAGTGTGAAGCTGCATAGTGTGTGACTTCATGTGGTGTTCCTGTGATGTGAGACTGGGGAAAAAGATGAAAAAAACAACCCAAACCTGGAACAAACCCTGAGTTGCAATGCTGGTTTAAAAATGCCAGTGTACAACGTAAGGAAATTAACATGGCCATAAATGACAAGGCAGAAATGCTAAAGTTACCTGAAGTAACATTGCTGAGTGCACACAGGTATAAACATAAGAAAGTAGTATCTGGGAGAATGTATTACCCAGCTATGAGAAGTGTTTTGCCTTGTATGGAGGGAATTGGGCAAATGAGTTGGAAGAAGCAGCAGTATACTGAACAGTGACATCTATGACTTTGATGCCTGTGTAGTCAGCTGTAACAGAGTTGCAAGCTGCCTTCAACAGTAGTTCGCAGGTGTTATCTACTGTTAGTACGTTTTGTGAATTGTATGTTTCTAAACTTTTTAAACTTGTGTCCTTTTGCAATGGAACCAAAGATCCTCTTAGGTCAAATAGTCAGGTTTTCTCCATGCCCTTTACAAGGCAGTACCTGCATTACTGTAACAGCACTCTGGCCTATAGGTTGTTACCTCATTCCTTCAAATTAATTTTTCTAGTTCTTTGGATTCTCTTACTCTTCTGAATGTGAGTCTGTCCAAGTCGGTGCAGTTTCTTCCCTTCTAGAGGAAGCCACCCTCTGTGTGAGAACCCAGCTGAGCTTTCTTGGTTGTTTTCAAGGCTCAGAGGGCATTGTAGCCTTGCTTTGCCTTTTACTTGCTGAAAATTCTTCAGTCTCTATTGGCTGTGTAGTCTGGATAGATTGAAGCCTGTCTCTTGAATAAACAATGATGTGGCAGATGCTTTCCTGCATTGTTGTGGATGGAAGAACTGTAATTGAAGTATCTGTGCAATCTCTGTAATTGCTGTGATATGCAGGTTTTGTTTGTAACTGGCAATGTCAAGGTCAGTCTGAGTGATAAGACTGTTGGGAATTGTGAGCAGATGACTAAAGACAGTGCTTGTGTAGTTTGTGGAAGGTAGAGCCTTCAATTCTCTCCCAGTCACCCCTGTTTTCCTGGATTACTCCTCTCCCTATGTTTCTGAATCTGTGCCTGGCAGCCGCCAGCAAAGGTAGATTATGTTCCAGCCCTGTGGATTGATGAGCTATGGAACTACCTTTGAGAGACAGCAGGTTGCATCCTTTGCTCATCAATCCTTTAATGAGTAGGAAGGTAAGTGTCTTGTTGCACTATGAGCCCTGGATTTTGGGTGTTTTAAATGAGAAATGGTTGGAGTCTTAGCTGGAGGGTCCTCTGAAGAACAGCAGCTTTCTTAAAACTATTCTTCATATTATTTAGATAGAATTTCTCTACTAAAAGGAAAAATGTGCATTCATTATTCAAGTTCTTCAGCTAGACAGACAAGATCTATTTAATACATTTTTTTTTTTTCCATGCTGAAGACTTTTAGCTGGATTTCTCTCTGTGACATGAGAAAAAGCTGGTTGCATCAAAATCTTCCGTGGACTAAATACAATAGAAAAATATTATGTGTCTATCTTCAGGGTATCCCGTCCCCTGCTCAGTACTACAATCCCCACATGCAACACAGATGTCAGAATTTCTTCTACCACACATTCTTCCTCACACTTTAATTGTTTCATTTAGCATTCTGCATTTACTTCTTTAAACTTGTGTTGTTCGAGTCTGGAGACCTCTAGAGATCTGTGTGTTATGTATGATACAATGCTGTGAGCCTTCTATGGGTTTAATATACTGCTCTCAACCATATGACATTCGCTTGTACTAGTGAAGCATGCACAAGTTAGTGTCAATTAGTTAGCATTGTTTTAATTATTAACTAGGTGCTACTACACCAGAAGGGTATGTACTTACATGAGCAGCATGTAAGTTGGTCTAGAATGATATGATCTGTTCAAAGGTGGAACCTCCTGGTTTAATCTGTAATTAGTGACTTCATGTTTTGATTTGTTAAAAGAAGAAATGCTACCAAAGTTCCTCTTTGAAAGTGAGATGTACATAGTCATCCATGGAGGTTGAATTAGGGTGCTGGTTCTAATGTGTTGCAGTTCTTTTTCCAATAAACCCACAGATAGGGAATTGATGTATGAATTCATTTTAAGAAGCATGCAGTGCTCTGCTATGGAAATTAGGCTGTCTAGGCATCTGTCTGAATGGTAATGAAATACAGTATTGAGATTTTTTTTTCTATCCTGCAAGATAATGATAATCGAAAATATTTGGCTACTTGATGACTGTTTTGAAAGCTAGAAATACAAACGTGAATTGGAAAGCTCAGTAAGTAAGATTTTGTTGTCTAAAACACTAGTTCTCTGCTTTGTAGAAAGAAGTGGTGGTTACTGAAATTTTTCATAAGCTTTCCTGCAGGCTAAATTTCCAGATAGTATTGGCAATTAACTGAACTTTGACTATTTTTACTCATGTGATAACTATTGGTTTATTTAGAGTTCTTTCCTACAAGAAATCCTTTGCTAATGAACATAATGCCTACTGTAGATGTTTTGTGGAGTGTTCAAGGTAGGTGGCTTTAAGGTGCATCTGTCCCTGAATAAACTTTAGGTTTTCTTTAACCAGGAAGACCTGTCTCTGCCTTGACCAAAAATCCCTTGGCAGCTCTGTTTAGTCTTTTAACTTAATTTTGGTTCTTTATGTCCATTCAACTCTGTCTAAAAGTTGCCCTAGAGCAAACACTGTGGTATGCACCTTCCTGACACTGCTCCAGGATGTATTAGGATTTTTCTTGCTGTTTGTGTGCTACTGGAGAGCTGGGATATGAAACTGGGCTATGTGAGTCCCTGTTGTACTTCTTTCTTTCATCATTCCTTTTGATTTTGTGATCCAGCACCTCTTTCAAAGCACTGCCAAGCAGCAGTGACAAACGCTGCTGAGCAATATGAGCCTAATTGCATTGTTTTCTGTTCAAGTAGTGAAATTAGGGTGCTTCATGTTTCTTGCACGATGCTCTTTTTCAGTGGCTAGAGACAGGAGTACAGGACAGAGTTGTCACTCCTGCGCTAATTCAGGTGAACATGGGGGGAAAGAGGGAGCAGTGAGCCCTGATGGGGGAACAGGGCAGCACAGCACACGGTGTATGTGGGGTTGCTGGCAATAGCTGCAGAGCTCTGCATACCTGGCAGCTTGGTCCTGTGATAGTCATGCTTTCATACGAGATCTTTTCCCCCAGCATGAGGTGTAGCATCCTGCTGTGATCCATACCGAACTAAGAAGGTCACAGTAGATCTGGTGTTCAGGCTGTTCTCAGGGAGGAGTGTCCTGCTGTGAAGGAAATGCTATAGCCCAGTGTGTGAAGCTTGTCAGTAATCATGCTCTTACTGGTTGACTGATGGAGCTGTGGAAACTCCTGATGCATCCTGTGATTGTTGACATTATTGCTAAGGTATATCTGTACTTTGTCTGCTCCAGTGCAGAGCTGTATTCTTTCTTGAACGTTTTATTATGAGGGAATCCCCCTGTAATGTCTAATTTTTTTTCTGTAGGAGAGGAGACATATAAAAAATAGGAGGGTAAATGAATCCCTAAAGCCTGGTATTTTGAACTTGATGATATGGCCCCAAATTCTGAGCTGTTTCCTGTTAGACTTGTGCTCATGTGTCAGTAACCCTTGTGAAATGGGACTGCGTATTTCCGTTTTCTAGTTGAACCTGCCCTGGTACTTGACAGAAGCAAGCACCTACAATCATTAACGCCATAGGGTCGGTGCAGTGTCAAGAAAGGGTAAATTTGTGTTGTGCTTATAGTAAAATTGCTGCTAAGTTACAATTCTTCACTGTGAGTTTTGGCCATGGTTTATGGACAGAAAAATGCCAAGTGTGATTTCTAATACCTGGATCCAAATATTTTGTTGCTTGCTTATGAAAATGCTGTGTTTGAGAAACTTTGTCAAAAAATACAAGGTAGAGTTTTGAGAACAATGAAACTAAAAAAAAAAAACCCAAATATTTAAATTCTGTGAATATTCTGAATTCCAATTATCCTTGGAATAAAACTCTATGAAACTTACAAAATGCAGTTTTGCAGTGAACTTAAGGAGGGTAAATATTTGGAAGTCTGTAAGTGTTTTTAAACGTATGAAAACAATGTTTTTAAGGATTGCAAGATGATAAATAGAAAATATAATTTTCTATGAGTGTCAGTTAATCTGGGAATTCAAACAGCTTGACTGTTGAAGTGCATGGGTTTCAGATTGTTGGGGGTACTTTATTTTTCTTTTAATCCCTGAATAGGCTTCAATCTTTACCAAAAAAAAAAAAAAAAACCACCAACCTTGATGCTGAATCCTTAGAATTAATAATTCTGGGGAAAAGATAGCATTTTTGCCATACACTTTCCTTTAGGTGTGTTGTTTTAATATACCCTTGATAGCAATTGTTTCCCATTTACGATAATACTCATGTGTGCGTTTTAAGCTTTAAATTGGCCACTAGAGAACAAATTATGTGGTATTGTTAATGAATTTGAGGAATCTAATGTTAATCTGCAATTTTTTTCATGTGTTTAAATTGGGTCAGCAGTGTACTTCTGGCTGCTTTTTGCTATAATAGAGCAAATGTGAAGCAGCTGAAATGTCTCAGGTATGCAGGAAGGTGTAAAGCCTGTACCTGTTGTCAATGCAGCCCAGCTGTTGTGACTTGAATCTTGCCCTTAGTTTTTCCCTGTGTGGCTAGAACACTCTCAGTCAAGGTGAGTTGAGGACCAGTGAGAACTTAATCTACATGTTTTGATAGGGACCTTCACCTTGGTGGTACTGAGTCTTAGAACTGCCACATGCAGAGTAGCTACTGTGTGCCAGGTAATGATTGGTGATGGGAAGTCTTCATTTATCTAAGGTACCCATGCTCTTGAGCTGTCTGCTAGTTAACAGCAATGACAACTTAGATGTATGTTTATGAGAGATGGTGAAAATGCTTCCCCTGCCAAAACTTGGGTTTCTGAGGACTTAGAATCTTTTGTCATTGTATTTAAAATGAAATATATTGACTTTTCAGGTCTTGAGAGTGGTAGTCTGTCCCTAAATCTTTCCATCATGCACAGCCAAAGGATTTTGAGTTTTATGAGTGCACAGACAGCTGTGGTCTTCATAATTAGTTTGTGTGGGTGTTGGCATTCAGCTCTCCAATGAAATTTGTTGGAACAGAAATGAGAAACTGAGTAAGATGGGAATTAAAGCAGAAAGTTGGCTTTATAGATGATATAACAATCTAATGTGTAGCTAATTGGCCAGTATCCAAATTGTGCTTCTAATTTGTTTTCCTCTGGGGAAGAATGTTATTGAAAACTAGACGACTGGTTCACTGAAGGAAAACACCATAAGCTTCATGTCTAGGTATTTTGTTCTAATGTGAATTTTTGTTGTATGGCAGTGCTCTTATCATGCATGTGGATAATGATATTAAACCAAAAAAATGTTGGATTGTAGCAGCAAAATGCTGGCCACATGTAGGCCATAAGTTTCATAATTTACACTATTAGTGCCAAAATTTCACCCTAGGTTGATATATTAGATGAATTTTTAATACTAAACTTGTGGTCGTCATCCACAGTATACCCATTAGTCAGCAGACTGCAAAAGGGGATGCTATTGCAAAAAAAGTCCATGAACACCTAAATCATTTGCTTGTACATAGGATATCTGTGGAGCTGTCAGGATAAGCTGCAAAGATAACCATTGTTTATACTGTTCTGGAGGAACAAGCGAGGAGTGGTTAGTTGAGTTTTTTTTGCAAAGATAAATTTTATTGTCCTTGTGGTAAATGTTCATCATTGGATTTTTAACTCCACATAACTCGGTGTTTGTTTTTCATAGCAGTCAATACCCAGAGTCCAAAGAGTTTTGCAAGTGGAAGTACAGATGCTTATGTATGCCTTCATATTGGAACAATGCTACTGGTGTGTGTGTGTGTGTGCCTAAAGGCATAACTGCATGTGCTTGTGTCCGATAGCTGATGTAAAAGTAGGTACTGTATATCCCATCAAGTGATGATGCTTGCTTCAGTTCTCTGAGTAATGGCTGTTTGGAAGTAATCAGTATTACCAGGTTTTAAAAGTATTTCAGGACTTGTTGATGTGGGTTTTTTTTCTTCTAGGTGGCCTGGCTTTAGCTCAAGTACTGTTCTTTTATGTGAAATACCTGGTTCTGTATGGTGTGCCTGCCCTCCTCCTTCAAATGGATGGACTCAAACCTCCAGCTCTGCCTTGCTGTGTGAGCCTGATGCACAGTTTCACTAAAATGTGGAGGTTAGTCATTTTTTTGACCGTCTATTACTGATACATGGTGATCAGTGTGTGTGTGTTTGGTCACATACATGTTTGCTTTCATGTCCTTGTGCTTTTTCTTACCCCCATGACTCATCTTTAGCACTTACTAAATGAACTTCAATTTGGTTACTTTTTTCACACGGCAGAGGGTAAGAGCAAGCATCCCTTTCAGCATTTTCATCCTTTTAATTATTAGAATTAGACTCAGCCTACTTAGCTTTACTAACATAGCTATTATTTTTTCTAGAGATCTTTTAAATAGTTCATTTTTCAGTTGCAGTCTGAACCTCACACTTCAGTCAGAGTCTTTCAGAGGAGGAAAAGACATGCTTGATTGCACTATGAAGAAAACTAGTTAATAACACCTTAGTATGTAGTTATGCAATAGTCTTCAACACATTAGAAATACTATGGAAAATGGTAATTGTTTATCATGTATGATGAATTTGATCAGCTTTGCTTTTACAGAGTTTCAGCACAACATTTAATGAAAAAGTTCGGGTTTTTTAACCTTATGATTGCTTTAAATCGGCGTTCATCTGAGGTATTTTCCCTGAAAACTGTTTCCCAGTTGGATTCTGTTTACTGTTCAGCCTGTGTGTAACAGTGGATTCACTTTTGACTTCTCTCCTCTCTTGTCTTCCTTTGCACCGTCTCTGGTTCCTCCAGTCTGTGGGATGCCTTGCTCCTAGAACTGTTACCTAAAATGATTTAGACTTGTCAGCTTTTTAGTGCAGAGATTTCTCTTGTGTTGATGCAGAGCCTAGCACAATTGGTGCTTACCCTGTTTGGTCTCTGACTGCTTTGTGTGATATGAATAAAGCTTTTTCATTTTAGTCATAAAAGCAGCAGGCCTGCTACTATCAGAGCTTTATTGGATGAGATTTTAATTTTGTCTTTGGCTTGAAGCGAGCTGTAGCAAGAAGACTTTATAGTTTATAACACTTGCCAGCTGTAGCTATGTAGTATTCAAAGAATTGCAGCACAAAGAGTTCAGAAGACAGATGAACTGTTAATTGAGCTACTAGCAAATGCCTGGGTTTAACTCCTTTCAGAGTTTGAACTGAAATTATGGCCTACAGAGTTAATACAGAACTCTGTGGTTTTAACAAGGATTCTCCTGAGAGCAGCATCTCTTGGTCTGCTTGCCCTTGCAAGCAGAGTTGTTTGTTTTTTTCTGCTCTTCTAGTTATTATTCCAGGGAATATGTATTGCTCTGGAGGTGCCAAATGAAACTGAACTTCAGCACAACTCCTAATGACACTGGTGTGTCAGGTAGTTGTAACAGAGCATGAAAAGGTACTCTGTGCCTGTGAAGGTGTGGTGTATTGCAGGAAGAGCTCTGGATGGTTTTAAAAATACTCATAATGCTTATCTCATAAGAACACTGAAATGAGTATCTAAGCAGAAAGCTTAACTATGTTTTTACAGAAGGAAAAACTGTTATCTGCTGATATTTGCCTTTTGCCCAAGCATTTCATTCATGTATGTATCAAACATTCACTGCCAGAAATAATAAAATTATCTCATAGATAGGATTTGTTTGCTTTAAAGGCTGAAAAACCAGTTATTGTACAGCTGACTTGATTTGCTCTCAAAGCTGTGTGGATAGCAGAATTTCCTATGGCTGCTAATTAATTATGGGTCATTCTCAATTATCTAAGAAATCTCATTTAGCTTGCCCTCTGAATCCCTGAATTATGATGCCCTTATGCCTTACTGTTAGACTCTTAAGTCGCTACTACCCACGGGCTTTGCAGTCTTTCTAGGTGGTTTGGAAAGCTGTATAGGAATGTCACTGTTAGAAGTGAGAATAGCCTTTGTTTCTCAACTGGGTGACTGGCTAAACACAGTAGGAAATGTGGAAATGATGGGTTTAGCATAAAAGCTAGCAAAAATGGTGAAAGTAAATTGCTTGTGTTGTGAAGCTTTATGGACCATGACTCCCTTTCCTTCAAGTACTGAACACTCTTTGTAGTTTGTGAATACGTGGAGTTAGAAGTGAACATTCCTGACAACATTATCAGAGTGGGTCAAATCTAAATGTTGGTAACACCGCCCAGTTTTAAGCTTGAGGAGTGAGGAGATTTGTACCAGAATGTGTTCATAAAGCCTGATAAAGCTTATTAAAGGCTCCAAGGGCCATGCTGGGAGATGGACTGGGGTGGAATGAGCCAGCTGCCATGGAGTGCACCACTGTTACCTGTTGGCTGGCATCAGGGAGGCTGCTTGGAAAAAAGTACTTGTGTATGCTTGGCTTGCTCTTAGCCTTCTTCCTGATGTCTGCTTTAGGGTACTCTCAGAAACAGGGTATTATGTTAGCTAGGCTTTTGGAAGACCCAGTATGGCTGGTTTTGTCTCAAAGCTATTAGCAGTGCAGACTTTGAGGGAGAGAAGGCAGCCTGAAGAGAAAGAAAACATGACTGTCACAATGTAAGGACTGGGAATATGCTACTAAGGAGTCTTCCACCACCACCTGGTGTCCTTTGAGCATAACGACATAGCTTTTGATCAGATGCATCTAGGCCTTTGTCACTTATAACTGGTAGATGCTGACATAATTCACTATGTGGTGCAGCAGGTGGAAGAGCTTTCAGTCAGGAAGGTAAGAAAAATACCACAGTGTGTCTAACCAGAGCTGAAAAATCAGGTACTCTGCCTCTCTATTTACACTACTAAACAATAAATCAAATGGTGTCTATTCAAACTTAACTCCTTTTTAATTAAAGTCTTTTATTTTTATCAACTTTATGGTGGAATCTGCCTAATTTGTATTTTAAGACAATCTCTTGAGTCAAATCAGCAATCTTGTTTACTGTCTCAAGACAAATACAGGTATTGAATGTGTTACTGTGGTTTCATTTTACCAGGATACCATTATCTTGCTAATTAGGCAGCTGCATAGCTAATAAATGCATGATAAATTTATTCCTATTCAAAAGCATGATTATAGCTGTGAAAAGGGGTTTCTGAGCGCTTGATTTCCAGATAGGGCAGTAGTTCAGTGACACACCAACTTCTTAATGTTTCCAATATCTGCTTTATCTTAATTCATGAGGGATTAAAACTTGGTTTTTGTTGCCATGGATAAAAGCAAGGTAATGAATCGTGTGAGAGCAACCAGTGTGGGAAACTTTTAAGTGCTTTTAAAGATTTGGTCAAGGCTGATGTCTGCCATAAACTTCTCAGGCAGGGGCGTGAGTTGTGTATTGCAACTGGGAGAAGTTATGCTTCTGTGGAACCTTGCAAATTCTTTCAATATAAAAAATATCCTAGTGAAGGAGTAAGGGTGTGGAAACTGCATAAACAATAGGTAGCATGTTAACTAAATCGGTGTCAATTTTGCCAGAGTCATTTACTGGTATGCCAACATATTCCAGATATTTGTCTGTAAATTAGGAGGATGTTTAGCCCAGATGCATGGTTCTTTTTCCCCATGAACAGCTCCTGGTTTTGTTTCCATACTATGTTACTGAGTGTGGGAAGTGCTGTTCTGCAGAGATGTTGGACACATTGATCAGATGTGTCTTGGCATGCTGTAGGAACAGCATGGGGTACGAAACCAGTGCTCTGATCATAGACTGATGTGAAATGTGCAGAAGCACAACTCTGCTTTCCATCTTAATGTTTGTATGCTCCCAAGTACCTTATCCCAAAATAATTTGGAGACAAGTGTGCTGGGGACTAATTGTGCTGAAATCTTATGCATGTTTAGTATAGGTTAGCCTCAGCAAGGGTAGAGGTTCTTTAGGAAGGCAGTAAGTAGTATTTGAAAGGTAGATTTCACAGGAAACATTTCATCCAGAATAAAGAAAATGGAGTTGAATTGTTGCCAGATAAAAATAAAATAAGGCAGTGGTGGAGAAAGATCTGACTGTTTTCAACTACTATGCTCTTAAGTTCTATGTTCCACCTTGTGTTTAGCACCCTGATTCTTGACTGGACAGAAGTCTGATGTAAGTGAACCCCCCATTTTCTTGCAAAGTAATGGGTAGACAAGAAGGGATGTATTTTTCATGTACATACTCATACACACTTCTATATGAACATGTTACTTTTATCCCACAGATGTTTTGGTGACATCAAAAAATGGCTTTTAGGTTATGATTTGAAAAACACTGTCTGCAATTCAGTCTGGTTTACCTGCCTCATTATCACAAAAGCGTTTCTTGCCTTATATGAGAAAGGTGGTCTGTGTATGAGGTCTCAGTGAATTGCTCCAAATTATGGATTAGAATTTTTCTGTAGGGTAATCACATTCTCAGCTATTACTGTGCCATAGAAAATGGGTCTACAAATGAAAATGTCATCTGCATCTGTTTCTTCCTTGTCCTGATAATCTTGGTCTACCTTCAGTGTTGTTGTTCTTGGAACCTTCTCCCATCTGGAAACAGTTCCTTGTGTATGTTGGTCAGAAGGGACCATACATGGTATTCTCCCTTTCATATTCTTTTCTAGGAAAAGACAAGTGTGATGCTGATATGTGTCACTGCAAGCACAAGAGATCACTGTCACAACATGTAGTAAGTTTGGAATGATGAATAGCAAGCAAAAACTTATCTCTTATTTCAGGCTTAAACATATGATAGTATTTACATCTAACTGCCTATTCTTAGTTTGTGGTGAGGACTGGAGTAGATTTTTAAACAAGGAAAATAAATTTTCTGACCGGTGGCGGGGAGAGGGGAGCAGGGAAGAATAGTTAAAGTCTATTTTCACCCATGCTTCCCACTGTCTCATCACAGTTTATAATGTACTTCCTCTTGGGCTTCTGAGTTTTGTATTGAAATAAATCATTTTAGGAGTTAAATATGTCAATATGAGTAAGCTGCTGAAAGCTTTGTTATAAGATATCATTAAGGAAATCTAAACAAGATTAGAAACAGTGTTTCTGTCAATGCTTGATTTAGGCTTGCCTCCTTGAATTCTCAAGTAGCCACTCTCTGGCACAAGTGAACACTTAATTGTCCGACTGTGAC